CCACTTTTGCACATCTCCAGAGGCAAGTGCTCAACAGGCCAGAAGCCAAGACAGAATGTGTGTCTACTCTGGGGTCTAGGGAAAGCAACACCCTGGAGTTGTCCATGGAAGCCGTGGTGAGTGCATAGTGAGTCCTTGCGCAGACAAAGACACCTGAAAAGCAAGGCCACCAGAGCCTCATCAGGTGTAAGTCAGGTACACAGTAATCAGGGATTTCCATTCCTCCCATTAAGAAAGAATTCGCTCATTCTGACAATTGAATTGAGACCTTTTGTGCCTCAACTATCAATTGAGACCCTCTGGGAAAGCGAAGAGTGATGGGAAACCATAAATACACTCCCGTGCATCCACTCACTAGGGCCCCACTGGGAATTCATCTAAGGACACAAACCAGTACATGTTCACTGCGCGCTGTTATTTATAATTGCAAGAAGAGGGAACAATTTGGTTATCAAATAGCACGAGGGTGGCCAGTAAAGTAACCTATGTCACCACGTACTGCGCAGGTGTGGGAACAGTAAGTGCGAAGGCAACGTCGATCTGCAAGTCTCTCGGAGGACGTGGAACGGATCGAGCCGTTTGCGGTGGGACGGGCGTGTACACGTCCAGCGTAGCCCATGCAACTGCGTCAGCGCACAGATCGGGCAGGGAGCGCCAAGTACCAAGAGCGCTGCGCGGAAAATGTTAAGTCAAGTGGGTAAGTTCTCTTTCTCTAAATAGTTTTCATAGTGGCTTTTTAAGTAGCGAGAAAATAGCCTTTAAAAAAAATAAAAGTTTAATAATGTAGGAAATTATTTCTTGAATATTAGTGGATAAAAATGTCTATCATAAAATATACACATATGTAAATGTGTAGACCACAAAAAAGCAGGTGGAAATATGTAAAAATTGCCTATAATGTTTCCAGTTTCCAAGTCGTGAACAATAGCTCACTTATTTTTACGTTTTGCTTTTTTGGGGGGCGTGGCACTGCGGCTTGCACTCAGGCCCTCATGATTGCTAGGCAGGAGCTGGTACCTCTTGAGCCACTCTGCCAGCCCCACTTATTTTTTTCTTTAAGATCCATTTCCTTCTAAAGTTTCTACAAAGACTATGTCTCTATTAAAAATTAAAATATAAATATCTATATACATACACATACACATAGAAGGCTGGATGGACAGGTGTGTACAGATCAGTGGATGGATGGATAGATGAAAACAGAAAGAAAGAAAGAAAGAAAAAGAAAGAAAGAAAGAAAGAAAGAAAGAAAGAAAGAAAGAAAGAAAGAAAGAAAGAAAGAAAGAAAGAAAGAGAAAGAAAAGAAAGAAAGAGAAAGAAAGAAAGAAAAGAAAGAGAAAGAGAAAGAAAGAAGGAAGGAAGGAAAGAAAGAAAGAGAAGAAAGTTGAGTGAAGAAGGAAGGGAAGGAAGGGATGAAAAGACAGAAGGTAATAATTTAGATGAGATGAATGGATGGACAGATGAAAGGTAGATATCCCTAGCTTCCTCCTTCTTCCTTCCCTCCTTCCTTCTTTCCTCATTCTCTTCTTCCTTCCCTCCTGCTCTCCTTTCTTCCTTCCTTCCCCTTTCTCTTCTCCTCCCTCCGTTCTTCCTTTTTTCTCCCTTCCTTCTTCCCTCTCTTTCTTCCTTCTTTCCTTCCTTTATCTCTTCACCAGGAAGAAATCAGGAGCACAAACTTCTCCAAAGGAAAGGCATGCAAGAGAAGCATTAGAGGCCACCTGCCTCAGCTCTTTCTGCTACTCAAGACAGATGGGAGAGGACTCTCTCCCCATGTCCTTGGGCCCATCTCCCTACCTGCTTCCCCTGCCCATACTCCAGCAGGAGCAGGTAAGCCCCCTCGATCTCATCAGACCCTGTCGCAGAGCCTGAGAGGGACACACACAAAGACCTTAGGGGCTGGACTCCCAGAGAGATGGGAGATAAGTTAGAAGGGGTCCAGAAGGGCTGGGGTCTTTCACTACCAGCAAGCTGAAGCAAACTCCTCTATGCATATGTTCATTTGTCTTGCAGCTGGTCTGAGCTCGCCTTGCTGGGGAGGATACAGTGCTAGATGTCCACTGCTAGACAGTCACCACCGAAGTCCTGTGGGAGCTCAGGGAGAAGAGCGACTGGCTCTTCTGCCTGGCAGTGCTGGGGACATGTGACCACCACTAGGCAGGTGATGGTTGTGAGACCAGCATTGGTGACATGCTGATACATGGGAGTATTTTCAGAGGCCAGCAGGCTTCCTTGCAGTAAGTTACCCAGGGTGGGGAGGCAGTTTTAGAAGCTTCTGGCAAGAAAAGAGCCAGGAATTGGACACTTCCTGGGGGCTGAATAGGTGTTATGGGCTTGAACAGTTGGGAAGGAGCACTTTTTCATGAAGTCTATGAAAACAAGCAGCCACCTGAGCACATGACCACCCTGCACAGGTGAGGGCTGGAGCAGGAGCTTCCCTAGCTTCAGGGTGAGTCTCCCTCAGGGCAGGTGCTGAGCAGACACAGGGGTCTTAAGGCAAGGAGTGGCATGGGGACATCTGCATTTTGGAAGAATTATAACGTATCACCCTGTGTTTCTACCAGAGCATTTCCTGGGCTTGGAAGGCGGTGGATACCCAAAATAGGTAGCTGGGACCCTCAGAGACCTGGGCTTCCAGGTTTTTGTACTGAGAGCTGAGCGCTTGCTTGTCTGCTTCCAGCCCTCCACCAGGCAGGGACAAGGCCACCCCAATTGTGTCCTGGAACGAAACCTGCTCATGCGGCAATGTCAAGGGACACATCCGGGGCAGACATTGCCGGTCCAGTAGTGGGGAAGCCAATGACCCTGCAGTCCTGCCGGAGTCAGCCAGCCCTAGAAGTGGCCCTGAGCAGCAGGCTTTGATTTCCCACCAGCCTGACCCTACAACTTCTTGGTTCTCTCTCCTCCCTGGGCTGAACCCAGCATAGATTGACGAGCATGTGACTCCATCCCACAGTAAAGCACTGAGAAAAAGGCCCCAAGCTTCTAGCCGTGAGACAGTTGGGCTAAGACGCTGCCAAAAAACGTGTCTAACAGGTGCTGAAACCCAGATTCCCCCGTAAGCACAGTGAGCCCCGCGCCAGTTCCCATCCTGGGCCTCGGTGTCCCTGGCTGCGCAATGGGGTGGGTGGATGATGGGCCCCACCTGAGGCTGTGGATGAGAAACAGCCCATAAAACTTTCTGTAAAGCTCCCTGCATCTATAAAGGGCCATTAAAGTCATGACTAGAGCTTAGGCATAAAATTGAGCGATGAACAGAGGCCCACTGGGGCCCTCCCAAGACCAACTCCTTGGCCAGGGGGCCTGGAAAGGCACAAGGAACCCTTGATTTGAACAAGTCACAACTGCTTCCCATGGAGGGAGGCCAGGCAGAGGTGACCTGCTCAGAGACTGAGTAATTCTTGGCTTTTCCAGTCCTTTTTGGCTGGGAGATAATTCTGAGCCTCCCAGGTGGTGCAGCTCCTGAGTACCATGCTATGATCCCTGCCTCTCCACCAGGAGCCACGGCGTCCTGCAAGGGAGGTGCATTGCCATACCAATCCACAAGCACTTAGAAAAGAGGGAAGGTGGGGTATTTTTTACCTTCATGCAGCCTGTAATCGCCCATGCCGCTTTACAAGTGCAAACTCATCTTGAGAAAACTGCTCTCCATGTAGGCTAAGGAATTTGTTTCTTCTTTTGGTGTTAATGATAATGACACTTTCCAATGTGTGAAGCTGGAATCTCTTTGACATAACTCATGAAATAAAATAAGCCATCCTTCTAAGATAACAACTTTTCAAAATAAAAAAGCTGATGCAGAAGGCATTTTGAGCTGTATTACAAATAGCAGTGGGTGGAGTAGCTATGCCCAGCTTGAAGACTTTTTCATTTTGCCAAACGCTGCTTGAAATGATAGAATGACCATGGTACAAAAACATTTATTTTAAATTAAACATTTTTGACAAGTCAATATCCACAACTGTTCCAAGCATGTGTAGTTTTCTTATGAAAAAAAATGCGACAGTTTAGCTTAATGTCTGTGACACTATTTTACGAGATTATTAAGACACATTCTGGCCTGAGCACCAGTCAATCAACCATTTACTATTTATTACCAAATGGCATATGTACTAATAACATAAAGATTAATCATATCTTATAAGTGGTTTTATAGTGAGACTTCTTAGAAGGAAAAAAAAGCATCTGTCAACAATACAAAATACAAGGTGAAAATAACAGAGAATATATAAAAGACATTTCAAACAGGCAATCATATGCAGATTTCAAAAGACAAGTGTCCTTAGCTCACTGGTAGCTACGTTCCTTCACAGGAGGCTTGGGGGAGGGTGGAAATGTCTGGGGTGGGGCCAGGGCTCAGAAACGGCAGGGAAGTGGTTCTGATGTCTCTGCTGAGGATGGTGCTTGAAGAGGCAGCTGGCTTGTGTGGAAAACAAATTCCCCTCCCAGCCAGAGGCATTAAGTCAGGGTTTCAAGTCAGGGCCTCTATAAATTTGGGACCAATTCAGGGCAGAGGGAGAACAGGAAGAAGAGATAAATGGCAGCAACGGGAGAGAAGGAGCCCTTGCGAGCTGGGAAGGATGATCTCTCTGCATCTATGGGGGGAACATGTGCTGCAGTTCTGCTCAGGAAATCACCCATCCAGATTGGAGGTCAGTGGCATCGCTCTGTGGCAGTCTTTTTAGGTCACAGGCTCTTTGGGTCATTCAGAGCAGGGAGGTGGGAACAGTTGCCGTGCTGAAGAAGGGCATCCGAATTAAGCCACACAGACGTGCTCACATAGGGCCGCCTCTCCTAGACAGTAGATTCTCTTGAAGTGTGCGTAATAAAAAAGAATTCATCTAAAGAGAACATTTAATTTTTTTGAAAACAAAACAGTGTGAATTCAATCTCACTGTCAGTGACGGAGTCAACCCCACTGGTTAATTTCCCAATTCGGGATAGCTGTTTTTCTTCTCAAAGTAGAAGAGTCTTTTTGGATTTCTAGAATAATTGTGGGAGGGAGTTCAGAAAAGCAGAAAACCTGTGTCCTGGGGCTGTGCACGTGAAATTCTCACCAGGTGGTACATCACTGAGCTCATCGATAAGACATTCCCTGCTTTCCTTTGTCAGGCTTGGCAGGACCCTAACTTGAAGAACCACGGAGCGGAGCAGAAGGGGCTCAGCTGCTGAGTCTATCCTTGCTTTACACAAGGGTAGATGGCTGAACCAAGACTGATTCCCAGGCCCTGGATCCTGGAGCACCCAAAGTTCACCTGTGGCTACATCAGAAAAGGGTCCAAGAGCTGCTGGGTTGCCCACAGTTGGCTGCAGTGTCGGGGACAAGGAAGAGAGGGCAAGGAAAGTCCTATTGGAAATAGCATTTCAGCAACTGAGGGCCACACTCCTGGGTGGAGCCAGTGAAACTCATCTGAAGGAACAGAAGGGGTGCTGGACCGGAAGAGCCTATCCTGGGGCCACAGTTCTGAGTCTCCCTCCACTGAGGAGGCAGGAGGACAGTGATGGCGCTATGTAGTCTCTGCTCTGCTCAGTGCGTGGGAGGAAGAGGATAGCAGCCCTGGACCAGCTTCAAGCTTCCGGCTCTACGACACACTGTAGCTGTTGTAGTACGTAGCTGTAGCGTCAGCCAGGACGGAGATAAGGCTGGTCTCTGTGGGGCCCGGTGGGGTCCCCTGGGAGAGGGCGGTATGCCCACTGAGGGACCCAGCCCCCATGGCAGAGTCTGGGTGGCCAGGAGTGTTCAAATACTGGTCAAACTCATTACGATCCATGTCCCCCAGGAGTTCCACCTGGCTCAGCTGGTCCAGGGCATCAAAGCCAGGGTGCTCAGGTGGTGGGGAGAGCTGGCCTAGGTGAGCGTGGAGGTTGGAGTGGAGAGGATGGTAAGTGGCAGGGGAGTAATATGCAGGAGACGGAGGACAGCCGGGAACAGTGGGCATCATAGAGACCCCTGGGGACTGGCTGAGGGCCAGGGGGCCCAGGGAGTGGCTGCAGTGGAGGGGACTGGAGGCAAACTCTTGAGAGTAAGGGGGTCCCGGCAGGTGGGGCAGGCAGCGAGGGTGGGCACGCTCCTCCTGGCAGGAGGAGGAGAAGAAGGTCTGCTCAGGCTCCAGCACGTCCAGGGGCGACATCTCCGGGGGCGTGGGCAGCCCGTAAGGATACGTGTCCACACTGCCGGGGGCGCTGCCCCCTCCAGCTGGGCCCTCCTGGTAGCAGCCCCGGAGGCCTGGCAGGTTGGCCCCCGGGGAGTACTCACCCCTGTCCTCCTTCTCCCTCAGCGGCCCCCGGCTGCCGCTGCTCTTCTCGGGCAGGGCGTTCTGGTCTCTGGAGAGGGAGCTCAGGAGAAAGGCAGGGTCCACGCGCTTGCAGAGGCGTTTGGCCTGCTTCTTCCTGCGTGGCCGGTACTTGTAATTGGGGTAGTCCTGCATGTGCTGAAGGCGCAGCCGCTCTGCCTCGTCCACGTAGGGCCTCTTCTGCGACAATGTCAACGCCTTCCACGACTTTCCTGCTCACACAAGCCAAAGAGGGCCACGGTCAGCACCCGCAATGCTGGTGCAACCGACTAGAAGTTGCACATCCCAGCATTGGGCACTCACACACCTGTTACCTTGTCCCTACCCCGCCCACAGTTCTCCCTCTCACAGCCACAAAGGACACAGCCACCTCCCATCCATGCTCCAGCCCAGATGCCACACACACCACACCGTGAGGCTGAGCCACCCCCTCCCACTTGCATCCCACAAAGCCTCATCATGCAAAGTGCCCTGGAAATCATCACCTCTCATGCGGACCACCAGGTGACCACCCCCCAAATGACGGATTCACACTGGGCGGCCCACCTGACCCAATGTCAGCAGCAGGAAAGGATATCTCACTGCCACCACATCGATCGGGCTTTTTTTATCCTTCATGAGCCAATTCTATTCATTTGTGCGTTTTCATGAAAATTTCCTGCTTCTTAGGAAGTGACACTGTAATGTTTACTTAAGGCATACATCTCACAGCCCTGTGCGGGAACCCAGGTTCGAGCAATAGTTTCACAAATGCAGGTAAATTATAGGATTTACAAATGACTCTTTCTTACCTCTAATGGTCAAATAGTGCTCTGCTGTTTGAAGACCTTAACATGGCCAGATTTCTACCATCTGCCCACAATACATACCTGCACACGCACCTTCACACACATGCACATACGTGCACACACAAGCTACCACTTCCTGCTATCTCTCAGGACCCTTTGGCTGTGGTAGGACACCTGCCTTAACTCCCTGGGCCCCCATTTTCCCCACTGTAAAATAGTCTGTGCTGCTACCCAACTCAGGCATTGTGGTGTATGCCTGTAATCCCAGCACTCAGGAGGTTGAGGCAGGAGGATCCTGAGTTCCAGACCAGCTTGGGCTACATAGCAAGACTCTGCTCAAAATAACAAAAAGAAGTAAAGAAGGAAAGGAAAAGAAGGAAAGGAAAGGAAGGGAAAGATCTCGTAGGGAGAAGGGACAAGAAAGAGTAAAGGGGGGTGTGTGACTATAATCAAAGTACACTATATACATGTATAAAAATGCCATAATGGAGCCCAATTAATATATGCTAGTAAAAATTTTAAAAAGAAGCACCTCGTATTTGTAATCCACTGATGCTAAAATAGTGCTTAATCTTGATTTTCTTATTGATGTTCCTTGCTTGTCTGTTGCTTTGCAAATCGCCTTAGTATCTCTCCTCCATCTTCAGTGTGCACTGCACATCTGGACCTCTTGAATTGTTACCTCATAGGGTAGGTTCAGGAGTCTGCTAATTTAACATGATCTCCCAAGAGTCTAATGTATCCTGAAATTTGAGACCCACTAGCCAAGACGACAAGGGCTCTCTGGCCAAGCCCTGTAAAGAAGGGGCATGTCTTCCACTGCGTACGTTCTGTACCAGGCCAAGGGCAGAGCCATGTGCATGTTAGTCCCCAGTGGTGGGCTCCATCAGCCAAGATATCAAAGTAGGCTGAGAGCCCAAGGAGGGCAACTATTAAAGGTGTTCTGTCACTTGTGTAGAAGTTATAACTACCCTGTGGACTTGTTAATTACTGTAATTAGCTGTCACTTAAAAGGGTGACTTGAAGAATTTCATGGACCCCAGATTCAGGCTGGACAGCAGTTCTCAGCTTGCGGTTGAGGTCAGGAGGCTCTTGCAAGAGGCCCATGCTCCAGATACAACCCACACTGTTTGTAGTCCCAGTATAAAACATAGCTCTAGTTTCTAAATGTACGTGGCTGATGTTGTGTTATTGATCAAATATGGATTTATTTTAAATGATACCAAATGTCTAAGTGTCTTGATACACTTTCTCATTCATAATATACTGAAAATACGAGTGCCTCCAGGTGACAGTTTCAATGTTAAAGTTTGGAAAGCTTGTAGTGGAAAAAGCTGGGACTGTCACATCCAGTCCTTCTCTCCCATAGGTCAGAAAGGGAAGGGCTAAGGAAGACCACAGGAGTGGAAGCAGCTCATCCTGCCACCCCTGTTAACAGGTCTACAAAGCCCCTATTTTAACAAGCAACAGGTTTTTTTCCCCCTAAGTGCCAGGGTCTGCAGAAGGAATCCATATCTTTCCTTCAAAATAAACTGTACTCTGTTTACAGTCCCAGGGGTTTGACCCCATCAGCTCACAAGAGGTCTTTGTCTAAGTCCCTGTACCTTTCCTTGCCCTCATCAGGCAGTCTACAGGCAGTCTCCCCAACCTTTGCCTCCCAGTCACCTTTGCCTGCAACCAAAATGTGGGCACACCCAGGGGCTTCCCGTCACCGCCCCCCCAAGCTGTGCCTCACAATAGAGATCATGAGAAAAAAAAATTTAGGATTCACCAAAAAATGTTTTCATTTCTTTTAAAATCTGAAGAAAAATATGAACTTTTAAGTCAAAGAAAAAATTTTATTATTGTATACATTAGTATAGTTCTAATCGTGCTAACACAGTACAAAATATACCATTTTACTGCTTTCTACGTGAGGCCCGCAAGTGTATCCTGGGCACAACTCGCCAATAGGTAGGGCAGTGGACAAAAAGTGCTTGGAGCGCCATATTCCACCAGCTGCTTTTTCTGTGGGCCTGCACCCTTTAAGAGGATTGAGACCCTCTCTCCAGGCCCATGGCTTTAGCCAGCAGAAAGTCAGTCCTCCCTCCAAGGTTCCGCCATGGGAAGGAGCCCCGCGCTCCGACGGAAAAAGGAAGGCTTCCCTTGCCGGCCGGGTGGGGTCTGGTGACCACGCAGCACGTCTCTTGTCGCAGGGCCCGGCGCCCGCTGCGTGCACAATGCGCTTTGGAAGGTTTTCATTGGTTAAAATGAATAAGAAACACATCGAAGGCAAAGAGGCTGGCGGTAAGGCGGGGTTGGAAAGAGTTCGGCTCCAGACATGAGAGAGAAAAATCCCTACAGGAACTCGTTTTTTTCGGACGTGACCTAACAGCCTCACGCTGGCCTGGTTGGTCCCTGTCCCGTCCCGTCCCCAGTCTCTGCGGCGGTAGCACCCCAGCCCACAAGAAGCGCTGGGCTCCAGGACAGACCCGCGCTGATCGTCCTAAGACTCTCCATCAAGTTATTTAATTCCTGCGCAAGAGAAAGAGATTCACGAAGCGAGTCTATTTTCTGTTGAAGAAGTTAAGGCAGGAATTCGTCCCTGCAAGATCTCTCTTCTCATACATTCGTTAGCATTTCATGTGTGACGATCTCCCTCTAATTGTCCCAAACGTAGACTGTAGGGAATGATCACTTTCCCCCCTTCAGTCTTCCCAGAAAACTCCTGGCTGGATGTTTCCGGCCGGTTTACTGCCAAGCGTGCGGGCCTCCCGGGTCCCGGCTGCTGCCAGGTCGCGCCCGCTGCCTGGGTCCGGATCCCCGCTGCCTTCCCCGAGGAGGGGGCCTTCCGGGAACCCCCGGCTGGCCGTGCAGCTTCACTTTGGACCTCTCTAGCCAAGGTGTCCCTGCCCTGTCCCGGGCACCGCACGCGCCCACGCCCGCTTGGATGGCCAACTTTGCCTACACAGAAGGCACCCGCGCCCCCACGCGCGGCCGGTGGTGCCCGCGATCGGCGCGCTCTCACCCGCCCTGCCTGGCGCCCAGCCACCAGCCCTCGGCCCGCCGCTGCCCGCGCGCCCGGCCAGGCGACCTCGGGGCGCTGCCAAGCCGGCCGCCCGCACACTCACCCAGCATCTTGCTGAGTTCGGCGTTGTGCAGGTCCGGGTTCTGCACCGCCAGCCGTTTCCTCTCGTCCTTGGCCCACACCATGAAGGCGTTCATGGGCCGCCGGATACGGCTCTCCGAACCCTTGTCCCCCGGGGGCCGGGGTGCAGCCGGCGGCGACAGCCCATCCGACAGCTCGGCTTCCAGGGCGGGACACTCGAGTCCTTCGGGCCACGGGTAGGCTCCCAGCAGCGAGGCCATGGCCGCACGGGGGTCGCCTGGCTTCACCTCGCGGGGCCGGCGCTGACCTGGCCCGTGCTCGGGTCGAGGCGTCCAACTTGGCCGGCAGCCGCGGCCCTGCCCCTTATTTATCAGCTTCGGGCGGCCTGGTCCTCCAATGACTCTCCAAGGCGGTGCGGCCCCTCCCTCGGACTCCAGCGGGGGCCACCTCCCAGCGTCCCGGGCAGCAGGTCCCGGCTCCGACCTGCCGAGAGGGGGAGGGAGGGGGCCGGGCCTCTCCCCGCGCCCGCCCCCAGCCCGCCCTCCGCCTCGCGGGTCTGCGCGGGGATCCGCGCCCGGCCGCCTCTGGTCCCGCCCCGCCCGCTCCCGGCCGCAGGTGCGGTGCGGCAGAGCCACTAGGCGGGCGCGGCCCGCAGTCACCGCAGCCGGGTGCGGGAGTCTGATCCAAACCCTTGCCCTGGTGGGCCGTGGTCTCCCCCGGCCAGACTCATGGACTCCTCTCGCAAAACTGAACCCAAAGAGCTTTCGCTGGGATGACTCAGGCGCGAGAGACATTGACCTTGAATCCCCACAGATCAGCCAGGGAGTCGTTCTTAGGAGAGCACACTTACTACAGCTCTTCAAAAACGACCAGGGCTTCAATTATCTCGCCCCAACCAACTTGGGCCGTCCCAGAGGTGCCCTGGACCGGGCCTGGGGTCTGCATGCGCCTTGGGCTTTGTGCAGCGCCCACACCAGTCCTCCAGAACACTGCCAGCGTCCCCGGTTTCTCGCGCTGGGCCGTCTTTCCGGTTCTCTGATTTCTCCCCTCGTCCCCCACCCCGCCTCATTTTGCCGCGAGTTCTTACAAGGGAATTCCCTTCTATTTTCTCCGACTTCCAAGTAGAGTCGCTCCCCCATCCCTTGCCCTTCTTTGTCCCCCCCTCTGGCTTCTGTGGGACCCAGGAGCTCCCCCAGGTCCACACACTCCCAAACCCCGTGGTACAATGGGACGCAGGCTGGGAGTTCATGGCTGTCTGTCCCTTCCTGGAGCTGACCACAGCTCCCATGCCACCTGCTGGGTATAACAGGGCTGTTCTGGAAGCTCTCTTACACCAGCTTCTGCACACAGTAGGCGCTCAAGAACTGCTGCATACGTGAATGAATAAATGAGTGAGCAAATATGACTTAGGCACACCCTACAGTATAAACCACGGCAGGCTGGACTAGATCCTGGAATTCAATCCACAAATATTTACTGAGCGTCACCCTTGTGCGGGGCTCAGCAGAGGTGACCCCGGCGGGAGGTAGCATTGTGGTGGGAGGACCATGGGGTTGGGAATCAGAGTCCTCCTCCGTGTTTGAGTGACTGAATGCGTGACACTGAGCAAGTCAGGTATCTCCCTAAGCCGCCCTTCCTAATCCTAAAATGGGGCGGATGATAAGGCTGACCTCACAGGGCCGTGGTGAAGATTCCGGGAGATACAGTGAAAGCGCACTGTGTGATCCCCATGTTAATACAACTGACTAAAGCCAGTAAATCCTGAGTCCCAGCGCAGTGACTGAGTTCACAGCCGCCTCCCGGGCAACGTGCACTGCCCTGGGGCCAACTGCGCAAGTGGATGGAGAAATGCAGCTTCTCTGTTTTTACGACCTAATTTAAACCTCTAGAGCCCCGGATAATTTTCGTCCGAGCAAGAGCTTTCAGCACAAAATATGTCTCAGGGTTTCCCCTCTCCTCCAGCCACGATCCAGCAGCAGCGCCCTAAGGCCCGTTTGCCCCATCTGCTGCTGCTCTTGAAGGTAGAGACAACCACCAGCCAAGGGCCTGGGGCCAGGCACAGCGCAGCGTGGCGCTGGCCTGGAAGAGGGGGTCCTGGAGCCCAAGGCGGAGAAGCAAGGCTGCGGGGCGCGGAGCATAAAGCGGGGCGGCAGTGTAGATGCGGATACACTCCTTACCCCGGGAAGCCCACGTCATTTACAGGGCCGGGACTCTCTGCCAGAAATGCTTCCAGAAAAAAATCACTAGGCCCAGAGTGCTTCTCGTTGGGGCTGAGGGCTGCGCCCGGCCAGGGGACGTTAGCTGATCGGGGTCCCACAGTGGGGCTTAAGCGAAAGCTGAATGCTTTGGGCCCTACTCTTTCTGTAGCTCCGCTGGCTTTCAGGGAAGAGCACCCTCTTCTTGGCCGCAGGTGACCCCCCACTCGGACCTTTCCTTGCTGGCACTCTCCCAGAGGGATCCCGGAGCAGAGCGCATACACCCAGGGGCCGCACCCACGCGCGCGGTTAGGAAGCGGCTCCTCTGCTGTCAAATTGAACTCCAGAGATTAAGGCAAAAATAGAAAAACAGGGTGAGGGCTGAGAGAATACGTGTTGTAACTGAGATTTCCAATTGCTTAATTTCTTGCATTCGTCTGGAGGGAGTTGGCGAGCCTGGGCTATCCAGGAGCTCCTCTGTGGCTCCGATGCCACCCAGAGAGCGAGAATAGTCTGCACGCCGGAACCGGGACTGGTTCCCTCGCTCCTGTCCCTCGTCTTTTTCATCCAGGCCTTAATTCACCTGGGCAACTTTGTGTGATTGCGCTTTGCTGCGGGCGGTGTCAAGGGACAGGGTCTCTCTGACCCTGTCGCCTCTCTGGTCATTGAGAAAAGAGTTCCACTCAGACCCCAAGCGCCACCAAAGCCCGGCCTTCGGAGGGCTGACAGGAGCCCCTCCGGCGCGCGCAGGGGACCTTTTGCCAGTGGCCGGTGTTTGGTTCCGCGGTTCATCGCTCCAGGCTCTCCCAGTGAAATGTAAAGTGCCAAGCCTTGCTCCGCAAGCGAGCAGAGTCGAGGTGCAGGGGCTGCAGCGCCGGGTCCTTCGGAGAGGCTGACCCGTGGCGGGGTGGGATGCAGGTTCCTGCAGACAGAGAGAGCAGAGCTACAGAGGCGGGTCCCCGTCGGACGACGCGCGGCACCCTGGACCCGCGTGTGCATCACGCAGCGTACCTTCAGGCGCACAGATGCGACTCCTATAGTCTTCCCGGGCAATGGAACTGCATTCTCTGCTCATCTCTTAAATGCTATCTTCTGTTTTCCTTTTCTTTTTCCTTTCTTCCATCTCTTCTTCCTTCTCCCTCCTTCCCTCCCTCTTCCTCTTTCTCCTTTCTTCCTTCATCCCTTCTCCTTCCCTCTTTCTTCTCTTCCTTACCCTTTTCCTCTCCCTTCTCCTTTCTTTCTTTTTAGCTCTGGCGTTCTCTGAACATTGTTTTCAGGAATGCAGAACCTGAAGTCAGAAAACCCCAAATCCAAATTTAACGCAATTTATGGGTGGTAATTCATTTATCCGATTTTGGCCTCACTTTCTTCACCTGTAAAATGAGGACGATACAGGGTATTGTTTCTGAAAGCGCCCTCCATACTTTAATGAACTGTGGGATATAAAAATCATGAGTGGTGAAGTTCTAAAAACTTAAAAATGATCAGGCCTTCAAATTTCCCCCTCAGGAGCTTTCCTTATTCTATTCCAAACTGAAGAATTTTCGTGGCCCTGGGGATATAGGAAGAAGGAGAAGGAAGAAGTCCCTTAGCCGGGTTCCCACCCAGCCTGGCCATCCAAGCCTGTGGAGTTGTGAGCCTGCACCAAGCTGGAGGAACTGGTCTCCTTTGGAGTCATGCGGCAGTGCCTCGATTTGGTGCAAATGATTTGTTCTTTGTACCTCACACCAGACTGGGGGTAGCAATCATTTCAGTCACCATCTCTGTTCATACTGATTTGTCTGTATTCCATTGACAGTCTTTGCAAAGCAGGTTGCCATTTGCTGGTTCATTCCTGCCTTCAGAGCAGGCAGTCAGAGTTTAGTATTGGGTCCTTTCCCAGATGAACCAGGCAAATGGTGATGCTGAGACCCCATGCGGCTTGCCCTCCAGCCTTTGCCCCTTGTTCCTCCCTGCCCAGGGGAAGTGTGTCTCACCACCTTCTGTGACTCCCCTTGTCCTTTGCTGTCTCCAATCTGACCTCTGGCGTTTCAGCAGACCGCTCCTTAACCTCTTATCCTTGAGGCCTGCCCTGGACAAAGTAAGTGAAAGCAAGTGTGCTCATCCAGGTGGCCAGGGGTGAAGTGCAGCTGGAGAGCCAGGGGACCTGGCCATGCTCACCACCTCAGTCCTCTCCCCCATGTCTTCAGTGGTCTCCCTATCTGTGCTTGGTCTAGGACCAGCAGCCCCCATTTCCATGGAGGTTGCTGCATTTAGTTTCCTCTTTTTTAACGCACAGAATACTCTTCAAAATCACTTAGGAGAAATGCATCAAGTCCCTAATCTAAAATAATTTAAGGGGAGAGAAACTAACATCAGGGGTTTCTAATGTATCTCTAGGCTTAACTGAGCCACTGGAGCAGGCAGAACACTAGGACCCCTGAACAGAGTTTCAGAGGCTCGTGGGGTCAGTAGTTCTTCTATCGAGAACTCGGGGAAAGAGATGGAGTTTTCAGACTAGGTTGCTCCTGGGTGAGGATAGAGTGGAACCCATATAACATCAAACCCTTCCACAAGAGTGGATTAGTAGTAACACAATATTGGGGTACTGAAACCCAAGTTTCAGATTAGACACCCTGGTTCTTACAGCATCCCAGCTCTTCTGTCATTTGCCTGACTAATTGCATCTCCTGATGGGTGCCTGGAGACTCCACAGTGGGAGGATTGCTGACTTGGAGCCAGGATCCATAAGTCCAGTTGGACCTGCCACTACTGGCTGTGCAAATCTTAGCAAGTTACTTAACCGATTAACTCCTGGGGTTGAGAGCTTCCCTCAGGCCCCGTGAGATGGAGGATGTGACCATGTTTTGTGCCCTCTTCAGGGTGGCACTGAGCTAACTGAAATGCTCATTCTCTGACTGGTGTCTGTTGCTTAGGGACAGGACAGGGTCGAGTCAAGAACAAAATTTCTATGTTCTTTTGCTTTTGCTCCACTCCGAACGGTTGATAGCACTGTGAGCGATCCCTGATAGCAATCTCATCTTGGAGCATTCTGTCACCAGTCAATGATTCTGGTAAGAGAGGACACCTCTTGTTTGCTTATCTTACGAGATTGCTTTAATGGGTGGGTTTTAAACTACTATCATTTTGTTTTCTGTTTTCTAAATAAAACATTTATTAAAGTACAGCATACCTACACAGGTGGTGTGTGCTGGCTGTTT